TTAATTAATTCAGTCATTCAGTCATTCGTTCATTCAGTCATTAATTAATTCAGTCATTCATTCAGCCATTCGTTCATTCAGCCATTCGTTCATTCAGTCATTAATTAATTAATTAATTCAGTCATTCATTTATTCCGTCATTCATTCATTCATCAACTCTTCCAGCTTCATTCACAGCAAGTCCAGATTTGCCCAGTTCTCACTACTTAAACTAGCTGTATTTTGTTTTTATTAAAAAAAAATAATAATAATAATAAAAAAATCTTATTGTTGAGAAATATTTGTGGCTTTTTCTGTTACAAAAGAAAATAGAAAAATGCAATATTTCTAATTGATATTTTTGTTGTAATGTTTTTGTTGTTGTTGTTTATTTTATTTTTGTATTGAAATGCAGAAAAACAATATAAGTGAACTAAATTATAAAATAATTTTACAAATGTAGAAAAATGTATAATTTTTTTTGTTTGTTTATTCATTTAAAAACATTTCATGTGGTAAAATGTAATTTTTATTAGTGAATGTTTTAAAATAATAATAATAAGTCTAAATAGTTTTTATTTTTTTTATTTTAGTTTTAGTTATTTCAGTAAGTTTTTTTGTTTTGTTAAGTTTTTCTTTTTTTTACAGATTGACTTACATTTTTTTAAAATCAATGACTGTTTTTATATGTCTATAGCTTTTATTAATTTCTATTTCAGTTTTAGCTATTTTAGTAAGTTTACATTTTTCTATAGATTCTCATTTTTAGTAGTTACTGCTTTTTATTTCAGTTGTAGTTAATTAAGTAAGTAAGTAATTTTTAAGTTTTTACAGACTTTTGTCAATTTTATTAGTTACTGTTAGTTATTAGTTAGTTAAATTTCTATTTCAGTTTGTTTTTACAATTAACGTTTGTCATTTTTATTAGTAACTGTTTTTTTTTTTACGTCTATAGAGTTTTTTTTCTGTTTTAGGTTTTTTTTTATTAGTTTTAAGTTTTTACAGACTGACTTTTGTCATTTTTTATTTTTTAGCATAGTTTTTTATTAATGTTTGTTTTATTTATCCCGTTTTTAGTTATTTTATTGTTTTATTTTATTTACTAAAGTTTTTTACAGATTAAGTTTTGCCATTTTTATTAGTTACTGTTTTTTACATGTTTATATCGTTTTTATTTATCCCCCCCCCCCCC